AACTTTTACACCACATAATATAGCAATAGAGTGTCATACAGTTCACATTTGACACCAATCGGATAAAAACATGATTTATGATGATTTTATAAAAGTTCAGCAGCAATACCCGATTCAAAAATGCATATATGACCACATACTCAACAACAACGTCCAAGGCCTTCACCATGAGGCCAAAGACTCATAAATGTTTCATAGTCCACAGCCCTAACACGATTTTAACGAGGGTTCATCAAGAACACACTAATATCCCTTCAAGCATGCATAATTTTCACATTATTCAAACATTCCAAGGCAAATCCGATTTAAACCAAGATGAAACAACTTAAAACACATGAAAATGAGAAGGTACAGCCATCAAGTACCGTCCTCGTGGTCCTTGCACTAAAAAGAAGAAGAGAAAAGGGGTCAAAGGCTCGAAGGCGTGCGCGGGGCGGCTCGGCGACGGGGGCTCGGCTCACCGGAGGCTGGGATCACCTTGGACAGAGGTGGGCTGCTCCTTTCTGGCCTGGGGATACTCGAACAGGGGCAGGGGTTCGAGGGTTGGCCGTGGTCCTTGCTCGTTGGTCGCCGGGGTGTGCGGTGGATGCGGCGATCGGGAGTGGAGAGGGAGAAGAGGGTGGTTGTAATACCCCGTTTGATTATGGATTATTTGAGATTAATTATTATTTATATTTATTGTCTAATTGCCTAATTGATTATTGATGTTATTATTGTTGTTGTTGTTATTATTATTATTATTATTATTATTATTATTATTATTATTATTATTATTATTATTATTATTATTATTATTTTTTTTTTTGCTAAATGCGTAAATGTTATTTAATGTCTAGATGCATATTACTATTATTAATAAATGTTATTTGTGTGTTTTATATATGACTATTAAAAATTAATAATTATTGTGTATCATATATATATATTTATTTATGTTCCAGTTTTATTTTAATTTACCGTGCGATTGAACCGAGCCCGAAATATCGTAAGTATCGAACCGAATAAATCCGGCCCGTGAGCGATGAACCACATTGGAGCCGGTCATAAACCATAACCATTTCTTATTTTTTTTTTAAAATCGTGATGGCCATTTAAAAGTGAGTTAAATCTAATTATGTTACAATTATGGAATATAATTGTGACCCTCAAGTTCTTAGCCATTGAAAATAAAACGTAAATATTTATTTTCCCTTATAATTGCTTGCCATCCTTACAACACAAAAGAGAAGAGTTCATTTTTTTTGTCCTCTGCAAAAATATCCCACCATCATCACTCATCCGCTGCCATCATCGTCCCTCATCACCCTCTTCTGATCGCGCGCACCTCCACCATTATCATCTCATCATCACGTATTGGTCATCACCATCATCCTGCCACCATCAACCATCGCCGTCATTGCCGCGATCGTCACCGTCGCA